AAAAAAAAAAAAAAACTAAAAATACCCCGCGAATCGTGGCCAGTCGCTTAGTTTCCTCCTCGATTCGACCCAGCTGAGCTTGGACTCTCTCCTTGACCTCCATCTTCTTCTTCTCGATCTCCTCCTCCTTGGCCATGAAAGTAGCCAGCGCGGATCTCGACATCTCCTCGTCCTCCTCCGCCGGCGCCCCGCCGGAGCTCGAGATCCCCGAAAGCTGTCCTAACTGCATCACGGATTACTGGTTTCCTAGCTTCCTCTGAATAATTTTTCTACTTTCCTTTTGCTCGCACAGAAAACCCCCAATTTTCTTTTGCCCTAATTGGGTTTCTTTATTTGTATGTACTTATTATTTATTCTTTCCTTCTCTTTGCTCTTGATCTGGTTTCGGCTTTTGTTGCTTTCATAAGGGGGGTAATTTTGTTAAGGAATCGGCCCACTTAAGCCCAGTCCAGGTGCCACATCTGACATCTACTACTCAACTTATTAGGTGCAATTAGATTAGAAGTAATTTTTTTTTTATTTGACTATATTGGAAGTTTGACTCAATTTATTAAAGTGAGTTTAAGATTGAAAAAAAATTAATTAGGTGGAATTTTAATTTCTTTTTTTTTTTTTGGTACAAGAAAGAGGAGCGACGCTGACGCTATCGCTAAAGCACAATCCGTCAGGGGTGGGACACACCGAATAGATCATGTTGCAGCCACATACCCGGCCCCCGGTGGAGGAAGCTCTAATCGATGCAGATCACCAAGGTCCTTAGCCGCCACAACTGCCAAAAAATCCGCCACAAAATTGGTTTCGCGATAACCGTGATCGATCTCCACCTTCCATAAACGACCCAACATATCCTTAATGCCTCTAATAATACTTCCATGTGGCCCATTGGTATCCTCGCGGTGGACCATCTCGATATTCCCCTTGTTGTCGACCTCCACTATTATTGTACGGGCCCCTATATCCCAGGCCAACTGCAGATTCTAGAACAAACCCCATAATTCTGCCCCGACAATAGAGCATATTCTTATGTTCATCATGAACCTACTGACCCAACACCCAAGGTGATCCCGGATGACCCCCCTGCACTGGCCATCCCCGTCGACGGGTTAAACTACCATCTGTGTTCACCTTTAAGTTTTAACACTCTCTCCGGCGAATTGATCTTGAGTTGATGAGGGGTAGATATGACTTTATCAGGTAAAATGTAATGAATAATATTGATGTGATATAAATAGTAAAATAATTATTGCGAATGATTGACAGTTAAAAATACGTAAATAAATGAATAGTAAATTTTGTTGTTAAGTTTTTTTTTTTTTTTTTTT